GACCAAAATAGATAGATAGATAGATAGATAGATAGAGAGAGAGAGAGAGAGAAAATGAAAAGACATAGATAGATAGATAGATAGATAGATAGATAGATAGATAGATAGATAATGAAGAGACCGAGATAGATAGATATTAGTAAGAAGAGAGAAATTCCATAACTAAAAAAGAAAGAGTAGCAAATCAGGGGGTTGGGAGGATATGCGATATTTAAGAAAACGCCCCCTACTGGCTAAGTGTGTACTTAAGCCAGGAGAACGGCCGGTAACTCTATCATTTCGCGAGCCTTCTTCGGAAATAACAGACGCAATTTTTTTATTGGCGGTTGGAGCAGATTAGCAGAACATATCAATTCTAATACTTTCGACATTTTCATTTGACGAGTAACGGGAAATAAGAATTGCCCAATGTTGGCCCCGCCCCATATGCGTGAACCTTCGACAAACAAGATATTTGTGAACACTTAAGCACTTCATTTTTATAACAAGAAATATAACGGGTGATATGTATTTAGAACATTGGCGTCCCAAACATGATACTAGACACTTATCCAAGTAAAAGAGAAGAGGAGAAATTTGGTTCTAAAAAGAGTAAACAGATACTACACTCTGATCAAGGGTTGTAGAATTACACTTTGGTTCAAGTCAGAGCGCACAGATTCTACATTGATCAAAACCAGAGGCCGAGAGACAGTGGCGATTCAACCGGGTGGGCAGAAGGGGCCAATGCCCACCCACAGAATTTGGGCTGGCTCTTCGGTTGACTTTCCCAACTTTTCTAAGTTTTGTAGAGCAGACAATTTAAAATGTTCTGCTAGTATTGACGTTAATATTAACACTTTGATTTTGTGTTAACGTTAACCACTTTTGTGGTCCAACAGTTTGAGAGTAGTAAAGAGGGCAAGAAGAGATCAGAACTCCACTACTATGAATGAAAAGTTCTTCCGTTTAATTTAGTAAAGTAATAAACTTATACTAAAAGTCATTTCTAAGTTGTGTATACGATAGTGGTGAAGTATGAAAATAAAGACGTTGCTTGAATTTTCACTCCCCTCCTCAGCAGAGAATTTTTTCTTGATAAAATCCAAAGAGGAATCTGCAATGTTTCTCTCCAGAATCTATCTTACATATTTATAAGTCTACCATTCATCCATGCTTTGAATATGGCTGCCACATATAGCCCGGTGCTCCTGCTATATATTTAGAGATTCATGATAAAATCCAAAGAGGAATCTGCAATGTTTGTCTCCTGATTCTATCTTACATTTTCATAAGTCTACCATTCATCCATGTTTTGAATATTGCTGCCACATATGGTCTTGTGCTCCTGCTATATATTTAGAGATTCTTGATAAAATCCAAAGAGGAATCTGCAATGTTTCTCTCCAGAATCTATCTTACATATTTATAAGTCTACCATTCATCCATGCTTTGAATATTGCTGCCACATATGGTCCAGTTCTCCTGCTATATATTTAGAGATTCTTGATGAAATCCAAAGAGGAATCTGCAATGTTTCTCTCCAGAATCCATCTTACATATTTATAAGTCTACCATTCATCCATGCTTTGAATATTGCTGCCACATATGGTCTGGTGCTCCTGCTATATATTTAGATGTTCTTGATAAAATCCAAAGAGGAATCTACAATGTTTCTCTCCAGAATCTATCTTAGAATATTTATAAGTCTACCATTCATCCATGCTTAGAATATTGCTGCCACATATGGTCTGGTGCTCCTGCTATATATTTAGATGTTCTTGATAAAATCCAAAGAGGAATCTACAATGTTTCTCTCCAGAATCTATCTTACATATTTATAAGTCTACCATTCATCCATGCTTTGAATATTGCTGCCACATATGGTCCGGTGCTCCAGCTATATATTTAGAGATTCTTGAAAAAATCCAAAGAGG